ACTAGTATAAAACATGAGGTAGTGTTAGACACCTTAAAGATTCCTTTTAAACATTTCAAAATAAAAGGAGATTATTATGACGAAAAGGAATGGCATAACATTTCTATCCTAATAGATGCAGAAGTAGGAGTAACACATATCCATAATGATGTGATTCCACACCTACAAAGATTTGAACTCACTACACCATATGTATACAACTTTAATGGTGTGGTAACCACAGTACATGAATATGCTAGAGTACCTTTTCAAATAGAGGATAAGAATAAGATTCAACATGAGATCACTATAATAGCTCATGCTAAAATAGAAATAAGTATAAGTATGGAATTAATGTTAGGAAACACATTCTTAACATCAGTACAACCAGATAATATCCAATAACATTGTTTGAAGATTACCTTAAGTGGAAAAGAAGTGGTTATACCTAGATAATATGAAAACTAGTATCTATAGTTATACATATCCATTGGAATCAAGTATGAAGAATACAAAACAAAATTCTTTCATGCTTTTATAGACATAGGATCTAGGATATGTTTGGCCAAAACCAATGTATTCCCAAAGTATTATTGGAAAAGCACATCTCAAACTATGAAAGGTGTAGCCATAGATGGAAGTATTATTCAATATAAAACAATAATAGAAAGAGTTACTGCCATAATTGGTGGAACTGAAGTAATAATTCCTCGAGTCTACGAAAGTAATGAGCATGGGAATGACATTCTATTAGGAAGCAATTTCCTAAGTCAATTTAAGCAATATGTTCAAACTGCATCATAGGTAAAATTTTAGACACCTTGTGGACATTGGCTTTATGCCTCTAGAAATTATAATGCTTATACTGGAGCAAGAAAACCATTAAATTTCTATAGCCAACGTGGTGGGGATAATAGAAAAACTTGATCAAAAGAGATTAGAAAACTAGTGCCAACATTGTGGAATAATTAAAAAACATAAGGAAAATAACCTTAGAATTTATCTCAGAAGAATTAAGAAGTAATTATGAAGAAGATCCTACAAAACTATGGGGAGTTAATAAAACTTATGCTACAATCGAATCGATAGACCCAAAAACTATCATTAAAGTCAAACCAATGAGGTATAGCTCTGAAGATAAAGAAGAATTTGATAAGCAAATTCAAGAATTAATGGCCCAGAAAATTATACGGGCCTCAAAGGGTTCGCGTAGTAGTCTTGCCTTTATGGTAAGAAATCATAAAGAATTAAAAAGAGGAAAAGCTAGAATGGTTGTCAACTATAAACAACTTAATAGCAAAACTAAATTTGATGGTTACTTTTTACCACATAAAGAAACTCTAATCAATAGAATTAGGGGAAAGAAAATGTATTCAAAGTTTGATTGCAAATCAAGATTTTGGCAAATTAAGCTAACTCCTAATGGTATCCCATTAACAGCCTTTAGTGCCCCTACAGGACATTATGAGTGGTTAGTAATGCCTTTTGGATTAAAAAATGCACTTCAAATATTTCAAAGAATGATGGATAATGTATTTTCTTCCATCAAGAAATTTTGCATAGTTTATGTAGATGACATATTAATCTTCTCTGATAATGAGAAAGAACATTCATTCATGTCATTTTAAGAAATTTGCATATTTATGTAAGAAACATGTAATATTACTTTCCAAAAAGAAAGTAAAGATAGGAAAAACCAAAATTGAATTCCTTAGATTAACAATAAATTCCACAAAAATAGAATTACAACCTCACATTAGTGAAAAGATTTCAATGTTCCCAGATAAATTAGAATCTAAAGAACAAATTCAAAAGTTTTTAAGAATACTCAATTATGCAAAACAGTTTATTCAAAACCTAGCTCAATTAATACATCCTTCACAAAAGTTGCCCAGGAAAAAAGAAAATCAACAATGAAAAATTTATCACGCTAATCATGTGAAAAGAATAAAAGAATATTGCAAAAACCTCCCTAGGCTACAATTGCCTAAAGAAGATGAAGAGTTAATTTTAGAATGTGATCCCTCAAATTTTTATTAGGGAGCAGTTTTGAAAAATTCTCAAGAAAAAATTTGTAGATATGCTAGTAGTACATTTAAAGATGTAGAAACTAGATATCATTCAAATCATAAAGAGTTATTGGCTATTAAAAATAGAATAAAAAAGTTCAGTTTCTTCTTATTACCAAAACATTTTAAAGTAAGAACTAACAATACTCAAGTTAAGGGATTTATTTTTAATAAATTATCTTTAACACCAAAATATAAAAGGTTAAATAGATGGCAAACTTTCTTTGTTGAATATGATTTTGAAATTGAACATGTCAAAGGAACAAATAATTGTCTTATAGATTTCTTGAGCAAAGAAGGAGCTAACTGATGCAATCATAAAATTTCAAAATAAAGGGAAAGACCTTATTCTCAAAGGACAAGAGACACTCATTGAGGGCAATAGCCAAATAAGAGAAGGCCAAGAAAAAATGATTGAAGGCCAAGAAATAATTGATGAAGGCCATAACCTTACGGATGAAGGCCAAGAAAAATCATTAAAGGCCATGAATTATTACATAAGGGACAAGATGCTCTTGAAGAAGTCAAAGAGCTAATAAAAAAATTAATGAGTTTCAAAGTAACTACTACTGTCAAAATTAGCTCTAAAGAATCTAGCCAGATGACAAAGAAAAGCTCCCAACAAGAGCTAAAAGGAAAATTTGAACAAGGTGATCCTTCAGTAGGTTACTTGGAGAAAGTTCAGGGAAGTTTGACTATAATGTCAAATACTCTCTCCCAGAAATATCAGCGTCTCAAGCTAAAAAGCTAGCTATTCAAAATGCCGAAGGCCATAACTTTCGACTTGATTACTCAAGAAAGAAAGAAAAGAAAGTTACAATAATAGACACCTTGTCAAAAATGTCAATGGGTGAAGAATATTTGTAGGAATACCATAGAGTTTGTGAAATGGCATATTCAATGAGGTCCACTTAGAGTTGCCATCCTATCCATGAAGGGATTTATCCCAGAATTAACTTCATGCACAATGCAAACCCAAAAGCAATAAAAGAGTTATTCAATTATGGTTTTGTAAACTATATTTATCTCTCAAAGGATAATAAAGAAGTTTCAGAACTTCCAGAAGTTATATGCCAAGGAGTGAAAGACTTCAGAATTGGCACCAAAACTCAAGGGATAGTATTTGTCAAAATCTACTCAGCAACACCAGAATGGGAGAAATCTCAATATTTCCCTAGTCATCTTATAGTTAAAATTGGAATCCAGTCCAAGAAAATCAAGGTAGGAGCGAATAAAGATCAAAATTTTCAAGACTTTAAAGAGTCTCTTTGTGGGATCGAGTTCATCCAAGAAAGACGAGCTCTAGGATTCAAGGTTTTACTCCAGACTTTTGATAGAATGATAGAGATGAGGAAGACATGGACATATGGCTTCTCCAAAAAAATCTTAGTAGTATCCACTGTTGTCAGATTAATGACAAGAATCGGCCTTTTTAAAATAAAGAAAAAAAAAAAGGAAATCTTTGAAAATCTGGTCCCAATCAGTAAAGCAGTTCATAATAGACTATGCAAGCTGTTAAAGCATAACAATCATTATGGTTTCTACTACAAAAAAGGAATCTGCAAAAGGAAAAGCTAAAGCCCATGTGACGAAGGGACCAAGCTAAAGCCCATGTGACGAAGGGACCACCCCCTAAGACAGTGAAGAGGATCTCATCATCCTCTGAAGAATCCAATGCAAAAAGATGTAAACTCTTACATCACTGGAGCAAAAGAAGAGTGTTTGCAAGATTCCATGTAATATGCTTTAGCAAAAGCAAGACAATTATGTAAACTTTAATCGTCAGCAATGATGAAAGAAAAAATTCTAAAGAGCACTATAAAAAGCCTCCTATAAGCTGTAACAGGTATCAAGCATTTGAACATCCAAATACCTTACCTAAAAAGACTTCTACATGCATCTGTAAACACCCTTCAAGAGGAAAGGAAACTTCCCTTTTCTCTTCTGAGAAATAAATCATGTTTTAGAATAATTCTTGTGCTCATATCCTTCCTAATTTACATCGTAAAAAAAAAGAAGAGAAAAACCACTAAAGATACTTAGACAGTAATGAGGTCACTAGTCCTATTAGAATACTTGTGTAGCCAAAGTGTGGCATTGAGGATTGAATGAAGGAAGCATCAGCTTGACCAAAGGCTAGGCTAAAAGTTTTAAGGTATAGTTCTAACTCATTCTTTTTTATCATGTAGAAGATAGGTGGGCATAGAAACATTCCTATTATTCTTTAACATTATTATTTCTTAGATTAGATATAATAGGGAAATAATACATGATCTCTTATATTTCAAATAGAAAAACTCATCTTAGAAACTTATTTATAATACTTTACGATGCTTGACTCCATTCAAGAAATAATTGTAGATAAAGTGGTTTATGAGCAGCAATGCGAATATTATAGAAAGAAAATAGTAAATATTTTAGAAAAAAAAAAGAAAAATGAAAAACCAAAAGAATAATAACCCCTCAAAAAAACCAAAAAAGTAAAACAAAAAAGAAAAAAATTAAAAGAAGAAAAAAAAAACCCCGAAAAAATTTGGCAACAAAACCAAAAAATAATGCTTTTAAGAATGGAATTAAAAGAGTCAATAAGATTTTATGATCAACAATTTAATATTATAAAAAAATTATAGCACTACAAGGAATGATACCCTGTAGAACTCATGAGCTACTATGGGATAAATATGCTTATAAAGTAGGTTAAATCCCTGATTCAATCCCTCAACTTTCATTTTTGAACTAAATTTACCCTCGAACTTCAAAAAGTACTAAAAAAATCCCTAAACTTCAATTTTTAGGATTAATTTCGTCCTTCCGTCAATGGAAGTGCTAGATGGCACATTAAGTTGCCACAAAATCATTTCTTGTTTTAAATCTTTAATGACATGGAAAATAACTTATCCATCATGCCATTTTTATTGTCCACATCAATTCTCCCTTCCCTTTAAATTGGGCCCACCTAAAATTCTTCTATTACTAAAATTCCTCGATCTTCTTCCATTTTCTAGTTTTTCTTCCTTGATCTTCTTCCATCAATAGAAGTTGCCACACCAATTCCCCTCCTTTTGCTCAACCATATATCGATCATAGATCCCATTCTCATTCTTTAAAACTCAAAACGTTCCTCCTCTTTTCCATAGTTCAAAATTGGGGGAATCAGGAGAGGGCTTCTTAGCGGAGCAAGCAGGAGAAGGTTTAGATTGGCAGGGAGATGATGATGGGATCTTCTTATTCAGTGTTCTAGGTGGGATCGAAGAGGTTCGTTTGGGAAGTGAGATTTGGAGGAGAGGTGCATCTAGTGGTGACTTGGTGGCAAGACGCAGCATGGATCCGAACTCCAAGGAAAAAGCTCGAAAGGCCCTGGAATTTGAGATTTAGTGAGAATTAAAGATCTAAGAAAAGGAAAAGAAATTAGAAGAGGCTACCCATTTTCTCTTCTTCAATTAGTGCTTTTAAGATTGATTACATTGAGCTTTTCTGTTGTTCACATGCTAAAGTTCTCTTTTCTTTTTTTTTTTTTTTCTTTTTTTCTGTTTTTTGGCTTTTGCATGCAGATCTCAACTCAGAATCTAGCTGGCTAGAGATGAAGTCCTTTCTATGAGGAATCGTTGTGAACAGATTGTCGTTGACGATAGATTTCGAGGAGGAAGCAAGAGTCTCATCTCCAAATAGTACGATTTCAAGTGTAAGTGGAAAGAAAAGCGAAAGAGACGGTGGAGAGGAACACGAGATAAACAGAGCCTCCTCTCACAGCATCAACAACGAGGAAGACGGTGATACTTTTAGAAAGAAGCTTCAAGTTTCTTAAGATCTAGGCTCTTGTGTTTTCAAGGACCTAGATCTGGGTTCTCTTTTTTTTTTTTATGAATTTTTCTCTAGTTTTATAGGAGAGAACCCAACATTTGAAGAACATACAAAAACTTAGATCTGTGTTTTTGGAGCTTGAATTTGAAGGTTTTGTTCTAAATTTGGTGGTGCAAAGCAATGAGTTTTTTCCATATTAGTGTTTTTTGAAGCTTGAATTTGGTGGTTTTGTAGAAGATTTGATGGTTCAAAGTATTGAGATTTGCATTTAATTTGGATGGAATGAATTTTTGTTGTTTGGTTTATAGGGAAGTGAAGGAAAATTGAGTGGAAAATGTTTGTAAAATTTCATTATTGATGTGGAATTGGAAAAATACCACGGTGGCAAAAAAAATATTGTTTTATTTTATAGGTCATTAAGATTTTCAACAAGAATTGATTTCGTGGCAACTTAACATGACATCTAGCATTTCCGTCGATGGAAAGACTAAATTGGTCTCAAAAATTGAAGTTTAAGGATTTTTTTAGTACTTTTTGAAGTTCAAGGGTAAATTTGGTTCAAAAATGAAAGTTGAGGGACTAAACCGGGGATTTAACCTATAAAGTATGCAGAGCGTCAGCTCTAGAAGAATTAAAAAATTTAGCAAGATAAGAATAAAAGTTGTTTTCAAGGCAAATATAAAATTAAGGACTAAAAGATCAAAACAAATATAGTTAGAGGGCTAATTGTTCTCTTCAAGAATAAGGATATTTTCGTTAAAGAAAATAGACTAGATGAAATTGAAATGAATCTGAAAGATAATAGACAGGATTAGAAGAATCCAAAGAAAATAAACAAAATTGAAAAAGATAGGAAAGTTAATAGATGATCTGTTAAATTAAGTCTGCTAAAAAATTTCAAGGAACTTAAAGTGCGAGATGCCTTCGGATATTCAACACACACAAAGCTTATCTTACATATGTAGAATTTTAGCTAAATCCCCTATTTGCATTTTGTACATTATTATTATTATTATTTTGTGATCAACATCCTCAAGAATTTTTACTTCAGATCAACACCTTCAATAATTTAAAACTTGTAAAAAAAAAACTCCAAAATTAATTGTCAAATCTCTTATTTACACCTTGACTTTGTTGGTAATTTGAAGTTTTATACAGTTTTCTTCTTATGGAGGATGTTAATCACAAAATAATAATAATAATAATAATAATGTGCAAGGTGTAAATAAAGGGTTTGGCCTAGAAGTTTTGTAGAAATATTGTTGCTTATAGCTTTTGTAATTATTAAATCGTATTCCCTTTGTTTAACTTTAATAGTCTTAATTAGTTCAACCTTTTAACTTTACATACATGAATTTCACATAAAAATTTAATAACTTATATACTCCCTCTATTTAACTTTAGTAGATCTAGTTTCTTATTTAGGTCATTCAAATATAGTTATCCACTTTTCATTTTTAAAATGTCATTTAATACGTTTATTCTCATTTTACCTTTATTTTAAAAGATAATTATAACATATATTAAATTAAAAGTTTCACTACTAAAGTTCTCACTTTTAGCAACAACTTATCAGCAATATGGGTGTCCTTGTCAGTGAAAATCTATATCACCGACAAGGACTATGTTGTTGAAAGTCATACAATACATTTTCCTACTTAAAAAGGTTATACCACTTTTAGCAACAAGGGGTATGTTGCTAAAAGTGAATTTCAACAAAAAGGGACATGTTGCTATAACTTTCCTGGCACCTAGAACATTAGCAACATACCCCTTGTTGTTATTATTCTTACACTTTTTTTGACCAAATATCAGCAACAAGGAATATGTTGTTGATATTCATGCTTTGACAAGCAGTTGGCCAAAACAATTATATATATACATTTTTTCAGCCATTATATATACACCTTTACCATTACATATACACTAGAGTCGACTCTCCATGTGAAGAGTCAACTCTTAATGAGAAAGATTCCACCTTCATTTTTAATAGTCGACTCTTAAGCAAAAAATATTTTATATTTATATGTGAAATACTTCTATAAACTCAAAAGGATGTCTACATTATTTTTTAGCTAAATTAGAGATTTAAATCATTTAAATAAAGAGTAAATAATGTAATTATATTAATTAATGTGTTAAATGTTAAGTACTATTTAATAAAGTCAAAAAATCAACTAATAAATTAAATTTTAGAGATAAAAGCTACTTTAACTCTAAATTTTATTTTGTCTATATTTAAAAATTAAAACAATTAATATATTTCACCTATTTAATTAGTCCCACCTATAGGTAATTCTTAATTTATGAAGGAATAAATTAACTCTCATTTAATTTTATTAAATCAAATCTCACCTACTATAACTATTTCGCTATTTCTTAATTTACAAAGGACTCAATTAAATTTTGTTTAATTTTATTAAATCAAATTTAATCATAATAAACTAAATTTAAACAAAATTAGACAAAATTAAAATGATTTTCCGGTTTCATCTTCCTTGACATTCTTCCCTTTCCCTAGCTCCATCCCTCTCTATCCTCCTCTCCTTCACCTCCATCCTTCTCTATTTTTCTTCTTTCTTTTTGGTTGGATGGTGAGAACCCAATTTGGGTTCTCATTCTTCCAAATCTGATCCAATAGAACAAGGAGTATTGGGGCCTAATTTTTGAAATACAATCTCCCAAATCTCTAGCCAATAATCTCTTGGACTCGGACTCCCTTCTTCCTTTCTCTTATTATTATTTTTTTTTTTTGTTCATTCCTCAAAGAAACTCTAGCAAAAACCCAAAATTTTTCACTCAAAAATCCAACAAAAATCCAATAGTAATGATGAGGGATGAGAGAAGTGATGGATTTGAGAAAGAGGGGGAGGAATCCACCAAACCTTAAACCCATTGATCAATCTCAAATTTAGTCCCTTTGAACCCTAAACTTAGGCGCATCCATAGAATTTCGCCAGCTCAAGGATTTAGGTTCCCATTTTCCTTCTTTCTGCAAGATCTGAGCTCATGAAAAACCCAAATTTGGTTCTCTTGATGAAAACCCACCTGGGTTTTGAAGGATTTAGGTGAATTAGGGATGAGGTAAGTGTTTGGCTGAGATTAGAATCATAGGAGGAAAAAAAAGTGAGATGGTGATGATGACCAATGAAAGAGAGGAAATATTGGATGAAGAGGTCACTGGAGGAAAAGAAGAGTAGGACGACGATGATCAAAGAAGATAGAGAAATAGCAGAGGTTTTCAGGAGGGAGAGAGAAAAAAGTTGGAAATGGAGAAGAGTAGTGAGGGGATGATCAAAGTTGAGAGAAAGGAGTTAAAGTATAAAGATGGGGTATTTAGGTAATTTTGTATTTTCAATGTATTAATTAATTAAAATGATTTAAGGGTGGTTGTAAAATTAAGGGTGGAGTACTTTTGGACGTAGTGAAGAGTTGACTCTCCATGTGAAGAGTCGACTCTTCATTGCAGACAAAGTCGATTACATAAGGTCAAGAATCAACTCCCAAATTCCAGAAAGTGGAGTTGTTCTGGATGCTAGGTAGAGTCAACTCTCAACGTGAAGAGTTGACTCTTAAAGAAAAATAGTTGATTCTCATTTTTAATAATTGACTCTTAAGAAAAAAATATTTTATATTTCTATCTGAAATATTTATGTAAACTCAAATATATGTCCACATTATTTTTTTGAACAATAAATAAAATTCTACTAATGTAACTATATTAACTAATATGTTAAATGTTAAGTAATATTTAATAGAGTAATAAAAATCTACTAAGAAATTAAATTTTAAAAACATAACTTTTTGAAGTATATGAATCAAAAAATGGGCGGGAGATGGTAATTTGAAGTTTAGTAATATGATACACGTCGGTTATGAGTTTTGCTATTTCAAATTTGAACAACTTTAGCAACATGGGATATGTCGCTAATTGGAGGGCAAACCTTTTAGCAACATAATACATGATGCTGAAGGTTCTATATATACTCCACCCCCACCCACCCCCCACCGAGTTGAGCAATTTTTTCTCCTCCATTTCCTTCCTTATGCAATTCCTTCTGTGCACATGATATTCTCTTTGAATGACTCCTCCATTTCTCAGCCTTTTTTTCTTCATTTTTGCACAAATCCTAGATGTCTCACTCATTTTTTATTCATTAATTATATCATATATTTCTTTGCTTTTATCATAAAATTCTCATACATATATCAGTAATTAAATTAATTTTCATGAACTTCTTCATTTTCTTGAAGCATATATTGTCATTTTATTGTATTCAATAGGTGACTCTTTACAACACAATTAGCAACAAGGAATATGTTGTTGAAAAAAGGATGGTCTACTATTCACGAAAGTTGCTGAAAATAGGGTGGCTACTATTCATTAGATTATCAGCTACAAGAGTCTTGTTGCTGAAAGTAAGTGGGCTTACTATTCATTAGATTATCAGCAACAAGGATTATGTTGCTAAAAATAAGCTGCTATACTATTTAGAGAATTATCAACAACAAAGGAAATGTTGCTAAAAGGGTGCACAATTCTGGTATCCTTTTTTACCAACATAAACCATGTTAGTGATAGTATAGTTTTAGCAACAAGGAGTATGTTGTTAAAAAGGGTGAAAAATTCCAATGGCCAACTCCGGTGAATTTTTTAGCAACATGAACCATGTTAGTGAAACTCCATTTTCAGCAACAAGGGGTATGTTGCCAAAAAGAGTGCCATGAATTAGCAACTTAAACCTTGTTGCTAATGTATTACCGACCACAACTTCTCCAACAAAGGCATCAGCAACATGGTTCATGTTGCTAAAGTGTTTTCAGCAACATGGGATGCACTTTCACCAACATGCTCCCATGTTGCTGAAAAATGGATTCTTAGTAGTGTCTTATCTAAGTGATACTTAATTAGGACAAATATGAAATTTTATTAATAAATTATTATATCCCTATTTTATTAAAAAACTAGGTATACTAAAAATGAACAAAGGGAGTAAACAACAATCAAAAATTTTGTTCCTATATGTACTCCCTTTATCCCAAAATAACTTGTA